CGCTTTTGAGTGAACAAAATAAATTTCTTTGCCATGATTTTATAAAAGATTTCGGGAAATTAACTTAAGAAAGCAGGAACAGGGCTTTCTTTCAAACATAACTTTTACGTATACAGGGTGAGATAAAAAACTGCAACAAAGTCAAACGCCATAATTTTTACATTTTTTAATTTTATTGAATGGAAGCAAAAACTGTCGGAAATAGCATCAAATTCTAGAATAAGTTTAGATTTTTTCGAATTTGTCACCTTTGGCACGAATTATGGCTTTCAAACGGCCTATGAAACCGTCACACGCTGCCCGAATGTTGCTCTGCGGTATTTTGGCCCATTCCCGGCGAAGCGCTTGCTTGAGGTGATCGACACTTTGGTATTTTTTAGTGCCAACCTTGCTTTCCAAAATACTCCAGACACAATAGTCCAACGGATTGGTATTCGGAGATTTTGGTGGTCATTGTGCGCTGGAAATGAAGCGAGGAATCTAATTTTTGGGCTAAGTGCGATGGTGCTGCGTCCTGTTGGAATGTCCAAGGTCTGCGGCAAAAATGTTTGCGTGCCCAAGGCTTTAATACACCCTCCAGAATATTTTCGCGATAATATTCGGCATTTATTCTGATGCCTCGGTCGATTAATATGAGCGGAGAGCGACCGTCGGCTGTCCGATGTTTTCTCATCGGAGCAAACCAAATTCGGCAATTCACAACTTTCGGCCAAGCGAAGCAACTCTTTAGCTCTTTTGAGTCTATTTTCTTTCTGATGCGGTGTAAGTTCGTGCACTTTTTGGAATTTTAATGGGTTTACCTCGAGCTCATTTTTCAATATTTGCGAATGAAATATTGCGATATGTTCAGCTCATGAGCCATTTTTCGGCCACTGCAACGCGGGTTTCGATTAAGTCGCTTCTTTACTCTTCGAACCATTTCTGCTGATGTTGCTGTTTTCTTCCGTCCACTTCCTTGACGTCGATACGAGACAGAAAAGATTTTTTCACATTTAAATGCTGGAGTGCTCTAACGATAGCCACTTGTGGTTTCCAGCCAAATATGAAGAAATCACACTATCACGCTTGAATTCCTTCACGAATAACTTTTTTCTAGAAAATTCTCACCAAAATGCTTTTGTATGTTTGTAAACAGTATAATGAGCTGTCACTGGAATAATTTTAACAGCTGTCGGACGAGTGGCTTAGAAATGACAGCAGTCTGAAGTTGGTTGCAGTTTTTTCATCTCACCCTGTGTAGCCAGAAAATTGGCATACATTTTCCCTTTAATATGGCATAATCTGTTTAAATCGATAACAAATAAGGTAGTGTTAATATTTCACAGTAATTTCATAAATCAATTAAAATACCGGCCGTTTATATTGTCCGATTACGATAAATTTTTGCAGAGTTCTTTTATTTGACCCAAGGAAGATCTCTATTGAATTTGATGACAGTAGATCCAGATTTAGATACAACAAATGGGATGTGTTTTGAATTTGAATTTTTCGCAACTGACTTCCGCTTGGAGTTTAGTAAGCCAAATGTTGGGAAAATGGGCTTAGATTTGGATATGTTTTTAGATATGTTTTTCCCATTAAACTGCTATTAGACGACAAGGGTTTTACACATGTGACGTCAATTTTTTTATCCATGTGTATGTCAAAATTGCCATTTTACATATGATTCATAATTCATGCTATCGCACACTTGCAATTGTTTTTATACCCTACATCACATAGTGAGTGGTATAGGTATTATGTCTTTGTGCATTTGCTTGTAACATGGAGCAACTTTTGAGGATCTTCATAGAATCACTTTCTCAACCGATTTATTTATGCATGTCAGTCCATCTGTCCGTCTGTCCATTTATTTTTGTAAAAAAATGCAGGACATATATCCGATGCAATTTTCCAAACAATATCAGATTTGGATATAGCTTCCATATATATCTTTATCAGATTACAGGTTTATTGTGCACCAAATAGCGAATATCAGTCCAAATGGACTGAATTGTGTCACTTCCTACGGAATTCAGCGCAAAAGCAAGTACTTCAAATTTTGGTGAAATCGGATCAGATATAGCTGAAGGTCACAAAGTATATATATTTCATCCGACTTGGTATTAAAGTCCTTCACATGCCTAATATGCAGTCCACAACAATGATATTTGGTACCAGATATCAGATACAGCCCAGATATACCTCTGCCAAATTTTATCGAGATCGGTTCAGATTTGGATATAGCTCCCATAAGTATCTTCGACCGATTTCGGGTTAATTGTGCACCAAATGACCAGTACCAGTCCAAATGTCCTACATTTTGGCACATCCAACCGAATTCGGCCCAGAAGCAGGTACATCAATTTTTGGCGAAAATCGGTTCAGATGTAGCTAAAGCTCCTATATATATGCTTCATCCGATTTGGTTCCTCACAGTCGTAATATGCACTCCAAAACAATGATCCTTGGTACCAGATTACTTATGGAGCTCAAATTTACCTCTGTCAAATTTTGTCGAGATATATTGAGATTTGAATGTAGCTCCTATATATATCTTTATCCGATATCAGTTTTATTGTGCACAGAATGGCTAATATCAGCTCAAATTAACTGAATTTTGGCACTTCCGACGAAATTCAGCCTAGAACCAAGTACTTTAAATTTTGGTGAAATTCAGATATAGCTATAGCTTTCACATATATGTTTCATTCGATTTGGGGTTTAAGTCCCATACATGCGTAATATGCACTCCACAACAATGATTTTGCATACCGGAAATCAGATACAGATCGAAAACACCTCTGCCAAATTTTATCGAGATCGTTTCAAATTTGTATATACCTTCAATATACACCTTCATCTGATTTTACGGTTATTCTTCACCATATATTTAATATCAGCCCAAATTAGATAGATTTTTTTTATAGTCAGCTGAATTTTTCCATATGGTGAAACTCGGTCCGGTATATCAATTGTTCCAATAAATATTTTTATACCCTACAACACTATGTGTTGAGGGTATTATAAGTTTGAAAGGGCCAAATTATGCAACACCACGAAATATTGGTTTTCCACATAGGAAAGTATATATGGATCTTCCTATCTCGCCGAGCTGAGTCTAGCTATGTATGTCCGTCCGTCCGTCTATCCATGTTAATTTGTAATCACTCTACAGGTCGCAATTATGACCCGATCTTCACGAAATTTAGAATGGAGGTGGGGCTATAACCAGAATAGAACCCTATTGCTTTTGGAGATGATCCCAAAATATGTAGGGGTCGAAATGGACCAAAAACTGAGATTTTTCCTGATTTTGCAGTTGATCTACAGGTCACAATTATAGACCAATCAACGCCGAATGAAGCATGGGGCTAGAGCTTAGGGCTGGGCAAAGTCTTCCAATTTTGGTGGTCATCGGGTAATATTTAGTGGGTGAAATAGAGCATAATATTTGTGTTGAATAAAAGTCAAATTTTCTATTAAACCGCGAATATTTTTAATCCTGAACGTTACGTAGACGCCGATAGTAAATATATCGAATATATATAGTGAAATATATACAATATGTATATACAAAAGAAGGGGATTGGCATAAAAGAATAAAATCTGAAAAAATCGCATAAAAAGATGCCAATAATGATGTTAATATAGATTTTGTAGTATTTTGTGAAATTTTTTTATTTTTTCATATTTTTTATCGCATGCGATTTTTTTTAATTTGACTTATAACATTGAAGTGCATATTTTGTAATATTTATTCACCTTACAACACAGGTTAGGGTTATTATATGCAGATTGCAATTATCGTCCGATCCTCACGAACATTTCAGAACATTGTTTTCAAAGATATCCGCAATATATTTGGGTGTTTAAATGGACCAAAAACAGAAAAAAATTCCTGATCACACAATTGAAGCCAATTGACACGCTTAAAAAGAGAGTTAAAGACAGGGAAAAATTTTAGATGACCACTGGATTATATTTAGCTATAATATGGACCACAACAACTAACAGCACGACGGAGTGTGCAAATATTGGCCAAATGTCCCTGTTCAAAATGCTAAGGTTAATATCTGGTCAGTGCTCCGTGACATAATTTCAAAAGCGAAATCTTCCAAAGTGGATTTGGGCATGAAGGGACTTCTAACGTATTGTAGTGTTGTAGGGTATCAAATGGTCGGCCCGCACGACAATAGCCTTTACTTACTTGTTTAATATAATCATACACTATACAACAATGTTTTTTTGGTAATAGAGGTACAAACGCATCCGTAATATTTGTTGAAAATCGATTCAAAGGTGGATATAGTTCTCAAATTGTGACTGCATGATACGCATTCAAATTCCGTTCATACTTGATATTATCTACTTCACATAAATTCCCGATGTTATATTGTTATTCGATTTAATATTAACATATAGTATATCTAGCTTCATTGAGAATCGAAATTTCTTAATTTCAGTTCCCAGGATGCTTACGTAAACTACCGTTTCCCACATTTGTTTTTTTTTTTCTTTGATAAAATTAAAAAAAATACCTATCTATTTTCAGGAAACTTAATTTAGGAAAATATGTTTCTTTGTTTTCTAATCAATTTGAAATTTTTGCTGGAATTGTTTTTCTATAGTTATCTCGTTATCATTGTTACCTTATCTTATATTTTAATTAAATTTTCATTTCTCTGTATTCTTTTTGCTATGTTTCGGAAGGAAAATGATTGCATTTTCTACAAATTTACTTATGCAAATGAAGAAAATTATTTACATGAATAAGAAAATCCTATTTCTTTTTCAATTATCGGAAAATATTATGAAAAAAAAAGTAATTTAAAATCTCTGAAATTATTTGCTAAGGATTAATGGCATTTAGAATTTAAGCCTTTATTAAAATAAGCTCCTTAAGCTGGTTGGATTTTATTATCAATTACTGGCTTAGTTCAACGTAATAATATAAGCGTATTCTGGAGGCATAAAGATAATGGGTTTTCAAGGATTTAAAGAATTAACTATGAACTTACCGTTTTATTGCCTAAATGCTTAACTCGACACCCCAAATAGGCAGACTTCCCCACAAGTGAAGTGATATTTTTTGGCATTGTCACATCGAAATAGGGTTCATTCCATCTGTGACTATGGGAATAGTGACCCGGTGGTAAGTGCGTTGGCTTCTGATCCACATTATTGTGATTTGGATTGCCGGACAGTCTTTGGTAGCACATCGATAAACCTGAAAAGAAAAATATGAAAAAATAGTTAAATTGTTAACCAAATATTTCTTGTTATCCAACCTGAAAAAATAACAAGAAAAAAACAGTAAGTTCAGCCGGGCCGAACTTTGAATTCCCTCCACCATTTGGAACGAATTTGCAATTTTTTTTTTTAAATAAAATCCGTTAAAAGTTCTCTTAAAATCGTAAAAAATACAGAATTTAGCCGTTATATTAGGGTCTATACGAAGAAGTGGACCTGCATAGGCAATTTCATCATAGGCCATTACTATATTCAAATACGAAACTTGAAAAAAGCCCGCTGAATAATGTAGCAAAAATCATCAAAATACAGAATAAAGGGAGTATAGGGCCTATACGAAGGACCTGCATAGGCAATTTTCTGTCATAGACTTTAGTTCCCATTACGAATACGAATGTGCCAAATAACGGCACATCTAAATAACGGTTTTAGACCCTAAGTCCAAATTCGTTTCAGGACATTTGGAGTCGATCAAGCGATGTCCAACCATCCGTCCGTCCGTCCGTCTGTCGGTCTACGGGCTGGTGCGCACGATAACTCTCGAAGAGAGTATACGATTTGGTCCAAATTTGCTACATCATAATATTGTTATTAAACGTAGATAAAGCTTGGTGATGGACAATATCCGTTTACTCATTCTGGTACCTCCCCCACAAAAGTGGTCAACATTTTCAAAAGAAAGTATTTTAGTCTACAGGAACAGAAAAGATAATCCAATTTTGCTCCAACCGTGCAAATCCTAATGTTTGCATCAGTGCTAGGTCAGGTGCGAAAATGGACAATATAGGTCCACTCCTCACTCCTCCTCACAAAGGGTCAATATCTAGAGTAAGTCCGCTTGCCTTCAAATTACACACGTCACAATATTTTTAATAACCCATGGTCTGGTGTGAAGATGGAATATATCGGCTTACTCCTTCTGACAACTCCCCCAAAAAGGTCGAAATTTTCAAAAAACAAAAAAAAAAAAAATATTTTCTGCAAAACAATAATCCGATTTTGCTCCAACTTTATTTATATATGTGTCAGTGCTAAGTCAGGAAAATGGACAATATCGGTCCACTCTATCATATACCTCTTCCACAAAGGGCCAAAATTTTGATTAATTACAACTCTTATAATATGTAAAGTAAGAGTCCGATTGTCTTCAAATATCACACATCCCAATAATTTTATTAACCCAAGGTCTGGTGTTAAGATGGAATATGTCGGTCCACTCCTTCTGGTACCTCCCCCACAAAAGGTCGAAATTTTCCAAAAATATATTTTCTGCGCAGAAAGAGAAACGATATTCCACAAAAGGTCGAAATTGTGAATATCCATGAAGCTCATAAAACGCGACCGCACAAAGGGTAAAATTTTCAATAACCAAGACATTTATAAAATCCGAAATAAGCATCTCTTTATATTTCACACATCGCATTGTTTGTACTAACACAAGATCTGTTGTGCAGGTGGGATATATCCGTTCACTCCTTCTGGTACCTCCGCCACAAAGGATCAAAGTTTTGAATATCCACGAAGCTCATAAAAAGCGAAGTTAAGATCCGATTCCATTTTAGGCTTGGTACATCTCGATATTTCTAATTTTGCTATAATAATATTTTTATCTGTATTAGATTAGGTATGAAAATGGAACACTTCGGTCGACGCTTTTAACATTTTCTAAAAATTAGCACATACCTCATACAAAGTGAAGGAAGTAACCAATATAGTCCAAACCTGGCACGTCGCAATATTCATATGATATCAATATTTATATCATATCATTTATTTAGGTCCGATACGAAATGGACAATATGATATTTAGATAAGACAGGACTAGGGACATACAGCAGAATTTTATGGCAAATAATTTTTAAAAATATATTGAATGTATTGAATGAGTGAAACAACGTACATACCAAAAATTGAAAGCTTTCAAGGAATATTAAACCGAACATTTCAGAAAAAAAAATTGTGTAACAATATGTTGATCTGTAATTATGTTGTGTAGCACAGTGCAATGATTCCACCATTTAGAAGGGATGAAGGAAAATCCGTTGAAATATGCTGATAAAATCATACAAACACCGAACATAGGCAGTTACCCTTACATTGGGAACTATACGAAATTTTTGAAATTTTTGTCATAAGCCATTACGATATCTACAACGTGGGCATGTATAGCCCATTTTCAATACCAAAAGACCTGCAGACCTAACACACATCTGAGCAAAATGTTATGAACCTACTTTATTTCGTTCGGAATCTATAGGGCTTTGCACAGACGGACAGCGAGACATATATATAGTTTAGAAAGCGTTTCCAATATTCGGAATATGCATTCTATGAAGTCAGCCCATGAAACTAAGAGTAGTTGGTAGGTAGTGGAAAAATTCAGAAAACTCACTCATACTAGTATTTCTCTATTCTCCTACATGAGTTTGATTTCATTGAATTTTTATTTTTCCATTTTTATTTGTTTACTCTCCTTACGAGCATTAAATTTCGGACCCCAATTATTTGTTTTATATATTTTGTAATTTAAATTTCGTACTAACACAACAAAAGTTTCACATTGTAAAATAAAAAAATAAAGTTTTTTTTTTTTTTTCAGAAAGAAAGAATCCTTTCATGTAACCGAATGCATTGAAGATCAATTTATGCAAATTGAATTAATAATAATTTGCATTCCACGTAATAATAATAGTTCGCATTCCGGCATGCCATCGATAGGTAGTAGTGGCTCCCAACCCACTCGTTTACTATTAAATGTCCGCCTTCGAAGTAATAGTGTAATCAATATGTGTGACAAAAATTAATTAAATTTTATTTTATTAAATATTAAAATCCCAAAATAATACATTTTCAAGTCAACATGAAAGGTTTTATTCTTTATTTGAAATCTTGTGTAATCATCGAAGCAATAAATTCGAAATTTCACTTACTGTTATCACAATATGTTAAATGAAAAAGTGAGATATGAATGTATATCTCACACCTTCTACAGCTGCCGTATTTTTTTTTTTATTTTTATGTCGCGTAATATTTATACCTGTTAAGTGATTTTCTCTTGAACACATATGTTGTAATCAAATAATAAAGTGGGATTATGAAATGGTTAATGAAGAAATAGGGAGAAAAAGAGCAAAAATTTAAATAACTTCCAAGCTGGTGGATTGTGTGAGATTGTTGTTGAAATAAGAAAATAGTCAACTCACTATAACACGTACACACACAGCAAAAATTCCATTGCCATGAGTGCCACTTTAAGCTTTACTAGTAACAACAGCCACCATTCATAAGTTATATTTCCAATATAACATAACCAATACACTAAAAAATAGAATTTACAAGACAAAACAACTTACTTTTATCATACCAAGTAATGAGATACGGCTGTACAAAGTATAAACGTCCGTTTACAAAACCTGAGGTCGCTAAGAAAATGCCAAGAGTGGGCCGTCACACATACACGTCGTTTGACAACAATTAATATGCATAGCAGTGGCTAAATGCCCAACAAGCACTCAGAGGATCACCAGTTCAACGCCCCCATCAGACAAACAAAATAAAAAATAAGAAACAAGTAAAAAAGGAACAAAGTTTAACCGGGCCAAACTTTTAATACACTCCACTTGCAAAATTTCAAAAATTCTGGAATGAGCTCTGAAATTAATCATATATAGAATATCGGATGGTAAGTCATATGGGGGCTACACGAAAACGTAGACTTGTATGGTATTTATACCCTACAACACTATGTGCTGGGGCTATTATAAGTTTGATTGGGCCAAAAATTATGTAACACCTAGAAATATTGGAAACTATATGTGGATCTTCCTATCTCGTTGATCTGAGTCGATCTAGCTATGTATGTCCGTCCGCCTGTCCATGTCAATTTGTAATCAAGCTACAGGACGCAATTATGGCCCGATCCTCACAAAATTTAAAATGGAGGTAGAGTTAGGGTCAAAATAGAACCCTATTGTTTTTGGAGCTGATCGCAAAATATTTAGGGGTTGAAAAAGGCCAAAAACAGAAAAATTTCCTGATTTTGCTGATGCTTTACAGGCCACAATTAGAAACCAATCGACGCAGAATTTTGCATGGAGTTAGAGTTTAGGACTCGGCAAGAGCCTCCCAATTTGGGTGGTAGGCTCTTGGTCCAAGTTTAGACAAAATCGGAAACTCCTTCCGAAAGTTATCGTTCGCACCAGCCAGACATACAGACGGACGGATGAACATCGCTAGATCGACTCCAAATGCCCTGAAACGTATTTGGTCCAAAGAGACCTAAAGTCTAAAACCGTTATTTCGATGAGGCACGTTTTGGCCATAACAAGTGATATATACCCTCTCAAGCCATATGGCTGAGGGTATAATTAAAATTTTTCTAATTTTGCAACCGCTCTACAGGTCAAAAGTGGAAACCAATCGACACGAAATTTTAGATGAGGAGAGAGTTAAGGACAGGGAAGAAGTCGAGCATATGGGATGGCTATTGGATTATATTTAGCTGTAAAATGGACCACAACATTGTGAATTTATTTCGAATACATAACAACACAGCGGAGTGCGTAAGTAAGAGTGACATTTGGCATTATTTCCAAAACGAAAATTCCAACATATTGTAGTGTTGTTGTGTATCACATTGTTGGTCCGCACGACTATAGCCTTTGCTTACTTGCTTTTTGGTAATTCCATTGAAAGATGTTTCCAAAATCGGCAAAACACCGAATATGGGAAGGTACCATTGTATGTGGGATATACGAAAATGTAGACTTAGATAGGTAATTTTTGTCGTAGAAACAACTTCGATGAGAAGTGTGAACATAAATCATGAAAATACCGAATATCGTTAGAACCATTATATGAATATACGAAAATGTGTGCTATGTAGATAATTTTCTATCAGGGAAGATAATAGGTTCTGGCAATATCAAATACCTAATAATTCCTACTGTTAATCGTAATTAGCAGTAGGAATGTCGG